ACGTGTGTATTATGAGTAAATAAAGAAATGTTTGTCAGATTTGAGAAAACTAACAGTGGTATCAAAGCGTATATGATCTTTTTGGGATCTGTGGTTGTGAAGAAAGTTCTACGCGAAGAAATTCTCCGCTCGTGAAAGTAGGAGGAGTTCGTTACGAACAAGAAGATGTCGAAGGCCCATGAACAAAAGAAAAGGGGGAATTTGATTCCCGATATTGCTGTAAGTTTGTTGGGTATATATTTTAGTGTTGTTTAACAGAGACGAAAGAAGCATTTCAATCGGAAAGTGTTTAAAAGGTCTTCTGGAAGGAATATCACGAGTTTGAGTTAAAGCAGTTCGTCGGAGTATGGATCGGAAAAACGATTCGATTAATTCGGGTATGATTTGGGTTTTTGTTTCTGGGTTTGAAAAACGTTGATGTTTGTCATTTCAAAGGAGAGAAGTGAGTGTCTGAATTCATTTTTCTGAGAGGAAATGATGGCGACGATTTCGGTGGAGACACGGTGGTGTTGTTGTCACTGTTCGTGTATTAGTTCGTGAGAAACGGCGGTGGTGCTGAGAATCGCAACATGTTGCCGAAAAAGAAGATGATGTTTCCGAGGAGGAGCAATGGCTTGAAGAAGAAGATGATGATTACGATAGAAGTTGTTTTTTTAGGGCTCTTGAATCAAGGAGGAGTGTTAGAGTCATGATTCATTACGGTCAATTTTGTGGGCGGTTTTTAATGGTTGGATTTTATTAACTGTTTTGGAAAGTTATGTGTGTGTATAAATATTGTTCAAAGTTAGATTATTATGTATTGCAGACTTTGTGTCTTGTCTGTAATCTTGTATGTGTCCTATGTTCAAAGCTTGGAGACAAAGGAAAGATGTCTCCTTGAAAGGAACGGTGGAAAACCAAATATGTAAGAGTGTTGTATGTTTGTGTACGTGTGTATTGTGAGTAAATAAAGAAATGTTTGTCAGATTTGAGAAAACTAACACGACCAACTCCATGGATATTTTCTGGGGGACAAGGGGGCTTAGGCAAGGATGTCCATTGTCTCCTTATCTATTTGTGTTGGGAACAAATGTTCTATCTACAATAATTACAAGGCTGCATCAGAAAACCTAATTGGATTTCACCCAGGTTGTCGACAACTCAATATCGAACGCATATATATAATGTGTATATGACGTCATATATAGTTTAATCAGATGAATCATGTAAACGGTGCATGGGGGCCAGCGTCCCTATAGCATCGGTCCCAGACAACATAACTCTTGGGAATAGCCCTAGAAGCGTATTGTTTGAACTCATACAACGAGAACCAAAACCTAGCCATTGCAATGTGACAGTCTTTGCTTTTCTCCAACATTTCAAGACAACAAGTGTCAGAAGATCTTTTGTTCTGTAACATCTCTTCGTAAATCTCACGACCACATTCCCATGACGTCATGCACATGTCGAGGAAATGCTTCAGGTCTCGATCCGAGAACCCTTTGAACAGTTTCCGATTGTAGTCGTTCGCCTCCGGAGATTCGCCCACCGGAATTTCCAATCCGATGTTTGGATCGACGATCGGTTCTCCGTCGTCTTCGTACACTGAGTTGGATAAGCGACCATGGTGGTTATGAACAATGTCATCAAGAACATCAGTGTCTTCCCCATAATGTTCCTTTTTATTTTGTTTTTGTTTTTTATTTTGTTTTTGTTTTTGTTTTTTTTTTCTTACATGGTGAAATATATGTATATATAAGCGGTGATCAGAAGATGTTTTTATTAATTATGATTTTTCGTTTTTTTTAATTCACCGGGCCTTTTGACCCGACTACATGTCCCGAAAGACAGGAAAAATCTAGGTGAATGCCCTTCCCCACGCTTGGGTTTTTTTTTTCTTCATTAATTCATTTGTCATTTATTTTCGAATCTACCGAAACCTCCGCTGATGATTTTACGTTATGAAACTGATTAATATGGTATTGAAGACAATTCAGTTTACTTATAACTAACTTCGTGTCCTTCTTCTCTTTTAGGATATTTTTTTTGTTAAGTTTTAATTTATTTATAACATTCACAAAATTTAAATGAGGCGCAAAGTGAAAATTCCAAAAAAAATACATGAATTTGCTAAAATGTTATAAAAAAATACAAGAATTTTTTAACTGTATAATACATGAAATTGTAAATTTCTTCCAAAAACCCGCGTGAGGACTAACGGCGTTAATTTGGTGATGACTCCCGCTCCCGATGCTGACGTGTTTGTCATAGGATTAACATGTCAACGCCACATGGATTAAAATTGCCACATCAGCCAAATTAAAAATTAATAAAATCAATCGGTTTTTAATTTTGAACCGTATATTTTTTTTTTAAATAGTATCCCTAAATCTAAACCACTTTTTAAATTCATGTTCGCCTCGAATGCAGAAGTCGACAGAGGTGAGATCCGGTCAAACATCCATTGAAAATAAATGTGCATTAGATATGTTCAAAATATGTCTTCCAATTAATACATGATAAACCTGGTACAAAACATGTCTTGCAATACATGATAAACCTGGCACATGACTTCAAAATATGTCGCAATACTTTACCAAAAAAAAAAAAAATATGTCGCAATACATTGTATTCAACGTGCCCACCAAAGTATTTTTCCAAACCTAGTACACGACACCAGAAAGAAGTCCGACATGGGATATTACAAAAATACCTTTAAATGTCGATTTCACTTACATGACATATCTTTAAAAAAAACCTTCAAAAAAAACTGAAAAAAAAATGAAAAGACATCGTTACCCCTTTTAAAAAATACACGTGTCAACATCTAAAGGAGAAAGACCAAAAGTTGGGAAGTTACTAAATTAAAAAAATTTGAAAAACCAAACAGTTTTTTTCCCCTTTTCGACAGACACTTTCATTTCTTCATAGTGTCGTTTCTTCTTCATTTTCTTTTCACTCTGTGATTTTTTTGTGCGATCTTTCTGTGCGAGTTCGTGTTTTCAAGTAAATTTGCATGAAGAATGGCTTCGTCTTCATCATCTTCGGCCCCCTCTTCGGACCCTACTTGCGAAGACCTCCAGGTATGGTTTTTGAACTCCGCAAAAATCAATTTTTTTAGGGTTTCGGGTACACATTGAGATTCGATTTTAGATTTTCTATTAAGTTTTCGTTAAGAATAGGGTTTGAAATAAAAATTTGAAAAACTATGGTTTGAATGACAAATTGTCACCGAAATATCGAAATAGGGTTTTCGGATTGGGTGAGAAACAGTGTTTTGTGAAAAAGACGGATAGAAATCGAGTCACGATGATATTGTCGACAGTCAGATGCACTAAAACATAGATTAATGGTCATGCTAGATATTAGTTAAACTGAACGCACCCGTCAAAAAAGTCAAACTATTCGAGTCTCAAAAATGTTCAAACTCGTCAAACAAGTCGGAGTTTGACGAGTTTGACGAGTTTGACGTGTTTGACGTGTTTGACGAGTTTGATAATGAGTGTTAAATTTGTTTTTGCAGGTACCTTTTGTGTATGATTTTAAGGACATTCATATGGCTCCTAAGATCACGAAGAAATGTTATTCATATCAGACTGTTAGATCTCTTAAAAAGGCCTTGACGAATGAAGAATTTATATATTTCAAAAAAGAATCCCAGTTTCGGCATATTTTTCATCTTGGATGTAAGGACACATTGAAGATGGTTCTGGCATCAGTCCTCTTACATCGGGCACTAAAATTGGAAGGAGAAGTGAAACAGCTATGGTTTGTTCTGAATGGCATGCCCATCAGATATTCGATCACCGAGCATGTGATTATCTGCGGCCTAAATTGTAAAAAGTATCCACAAGACTAGGCTAAATGTAAGGGAACCCAGTTTCGGATGAAAATGTTTGGACATTCAAAGGTGACAACATCCGAAGCGATAAAGAAGTTGTATGTCACTCCAACCAAAGATGTGGAGGACAGGAGAAGATTAGCAATAATCATATTGCTAGGTGGAGTATTAGACCATGGAATCAAGAACAATGATGTGATTCCAAATGATGCAGTTGACATGGTCAACAATCTGGAATTTTGTGAAGGGTTTCCTTGGGGGAGATACACTTTCCAAAGAACAATCGATCATATACTGAAGTTGTATGTAAGCAGTCCTACACCGAGGGCTCAGTGGCACTTTCCTGGATTCGTAATACCTCTTATGGTGAGTTACTTTTTTATATTGTTTTATTTATTGTGATTGAGTATTTGATTGATTAGTTTGTATGTATATTGCAGTTGCTTCCTTTTGAATGCATGAATAGTTTAGGCGCCAATGGATGGTATATAGATGTGAAGGATGCCGATCCTACATGTCCTAGGATGTGTAAGAAGCAAATCCAACCGGGCCTTTATGTCACACTTGCAAATGTGATTAGACAGATCGGTGTGGATTCACATGTATGTATAGATTGATTACATTAGTTATAATAGATGACATTTGACGAGTTTGACGAGTTTGACCCTAATCCGGATCACTGATACCAAATCTGTTAAAATGTTCTCAGGGTATTCGAAGTGTTCTTCAATTAGATGAGGAAGAGGAACATATGTTTTTTAACATACATGAGGATGAAAGTAGCCATCCGGTGGTGCAAAGTTGGATGCAACAATTGAGGATGAACCCGTCAAGTATTTGTTATGAGAACATTCGTGAGATCGATGTTGGTGGTAGGGCGGAGAGAAAGAAGAAAGAGAAAAGAAAGAAACAAAGAGAAGAAGAACGAGAAGAAGAAGGAGAAGGAGAAGGAGAAGAAGAAGGAGAAGAAAGAATAGAGGAAAAGGAAGGAGAAGATGAAGAAGGAGAAAAAATATCCTTCAAAAAGATGTTGAAGAAGATTGTAAAAGACTCCAAAAAAAGAATAATTGCAAGAGTTGAGAAGAAAGTAATTGAAAAAGTGAAAAGAATTCTGGAGAGGGCAGGAATCAATGTGGAAGAAGTCGATTGGTCTGAGATACAAGACAACGAGTTCGAGTTTAGATCTCGTTTTTCGGATGAGAATGTAGATCTTCCACAGAACGAGCAAGGTATGGTGTTACACTTTATACTTTATTTGGGCAAACCGAGTTAGATTGGTTTGGCTCTTTTGATTGATGAGTTTGACCGATTTGACTCTTCTGGTTGACGAGTTTGACTGATATTCATATAATTGGTCATATGTAGGACATCAATCTGTGCAAGAATCTGACAATGATCAAGAGGATATAGAAATTGCACAGAACGAGCAAGGTATGATCTTACACTACACTTTATTTGGGCAGCCCGAGTTAGACTGGTTTAACTCTTTTGGTTGACGAGTTTGACGGTTTGACTCTTTTGGTTGACGAGTTTGACTGATATTCATATAATTGCTCATATGTAAGACATCATCAATCTGTGAAAAATCCGATAATGATCAAGAGAATGTAGAAATTGCACAGAACGAGCAATGTATGATCTTACACTACACTTTATTTGGGCAGCCCGAGTTAGATTGGTTTGACTCTTTTGGTTGACGAGTTTGACCGGTTTGACTCTTCTGGTTGACGAGTTTGACTGATATTCATATAATTGCTCATATGTAGGACATCATCAATCTGTGCAAAAATCCGATAATGATCAAGAGGATGTAGAATTTGCACAACACGAACAAGGTATGGACTGATAGGTGTTTTGTTGGGTTCCCTGTGGGTTCCTAGCATGCGATCTCATCGATCTAGGGTTTGGTTTCTAGGTTTCATGCAGCGGAAGAAAAGATCTAAACCTAGCCAAACGTCACACAAAACCAATTGTGCAATAACCAGAAAAGACGTGTATATCACCGTGGGATTCGAATACTTACCTCGTTCTATCAAGATCTGGAAGTATCAATCGATCCAGGGCCTGTTTTAATCACCAAGAATTGAAAACACAACTCCTCTACACGTATCCACACCGGCGGGATGAATTCCAACACTTTGGAACGTATCTGCTAGGATTTGTGAAGTGATTAGGGTTTCCGAGACTTGGGATCGAATCCCGGGAGAATCTCAAAAGAACGATTTCTCTTGTGTTCTAGATCTGTCTAAGAGTTCTGAATAACTCTCTCTTAGTTAGGACGGCGTCCCATAATCCTTATATTAAGTCTGAAACCCTAATCCTTGTAAAAAGGAAACTTTTCCGAGATCTGACTTGGTCCGAGTCAAAACTTTGACTCGGTCGAGTCAGAACGAATCAGCCCAAGCCCATCATCAACTTTTGACTCGGTCCATTTAGAGTGGACTCTGTCCGAGTCAAAACTTTGACTCGGTCCGAGTCAAAACATCAGCCAAGCCCAAAACACTTTCTGGGCTTCGACTCACATGGAACTAATTCGGTCCGAGTCAAATACTGACTCGATCCGAGTCAGAAGGCTGAAACCATCCTGACACTCTGATTTGATCCGAAAACCGTTTGTTCGACCAAATCCAAGTCTTCCTTTCCGATACTTCACATATAAGTCCATCCCTAATGGTGTGTGACCTTGTAGGTCCATTCGCAGTGGCAGCAGCCTCGAGAACCATTCCCGATCTACAAGTCATGGTTAGCCTCTAGCAAGACGCCATGACTACCTACGTTGAATTGAGTTAGAGGTGATCTAACAAAGCCAGCAATAGTTCGAGTTCTGATCATTTGTCTCACGATGTCATATGTTGAACAAGGGCATGGTGTGAGCCACCCTTCCAGTTAAACTGCTTACTCGTCTTGGCAAATCGACTAATAAAATAGATGTAACTTCATCTATAGCGTGGCCACGCATTTTCACAGTCCGATTTCCACGAGGGGCCCAACGACATCTCTCCTATTAAGGAGGTGACAAGTCCCATATTGCATGTCTACTATCTCCATATGATTCGTGAACGTATCTGATCAACGCCGTTATAATCATCCGGTTAAAAACGACGTTTGACGTAGTCAAGACACGCCACTCCTCATATCAGATACTCTAGACATCTCAGGTCTGAGGATCAAGAACGAACCGCTGTATGAGATTCAAGTCATGACTCATGTCCATGTGACAATCTCATGCGGGTCATCCAGTCACTCGTTCCAAACGAGTATCCATGATTGTGATTTGCATCAAATGCATATGATCATCATCATCAATCACACATCATGCTGGTCTTAATTCATCACTATTCCCACAATGAAAACTGACCAGGGAGTTTAGAATCATATGCAATGATTCATGGATATCTACCGAAATATAACAAACATGCCAATCATATAACGGGAATGTAACGCATTCATAAATAAATGAATCAATACAAAGTCAAAATGTCATATCACGGATCATCCTAGAGCATTACAACCAACAATCTCCCACTATGCTCTATGATCTATCCTACAAGCATCTAATCCCCATACCCATAACATGACCATCATGCTTTGACGAAGGGAGAGGCTTCGTCAGCGGGTCGGCAATATTATCATCCGTCGACACTCTGCTTATTTTCACGTCTCCTCTGTCGATGATTTCTCTGATCAAGTGAAATCGCCTGAGTATGTGTTTGGATCTCTGGTGTGACCGGGATTCCTTAGCTTGTGCGATCGCACCATTGTTATCACAGTACAACTCAATGGGATCTGCAATGCTAGGAACAATGTCCAGGTCTCCCACGAATTTCCTGATCCAAACAGCTTCCTTAGTTGCATCCGATGCAGCTATATACTTGACTTCTATAGTCAAATCTGCAACGGTTGGTTGTTTGGAACTTTTCCAACTAATAGCCCCACTGTTCAGGCAGAAAACGTAACCTGACTACGATCTGAAGTCATCTCTGTCGGTTTGGAAACTAGCATTGTCCAGGTCTCCCACGAATTTCCTGATCCAAACAGCTTCCTTAGTTGCATCCGATGCAGCTATATACTTGACTTCTATAGTCAAATCTGCAACGGTTGGTTGTTTGGAACTTTTCCAACTAATAGCCCCACTGTTCAGGCAGAAAACGTAACCTGACTACGATCTGAAGTCATCTCTGTCGGTTTGGAAACTAGCATCGGTATAACTCCTTATAGCGGGCTCGTCTTCCAATCCGCCATACACCAAAAATAAATTCTTAGTCCTTCTCAAGTACTTAAAGATGTTCTTGACCGCAATCCAGTGAGCCTCACCTGGTGTAGACTGATATCTACTAGTCATACTCAATGCATATGATACATCCGGACGAGTACACAACATTGTTGGGTTTTCTGGGATCTCATAAGCGAATCCTATTCCTAAGAGATCAGTTCTAGGGTTTGCGCAGCAGATGTAAAACAAAATTTTTTGATAAAACCCTAAAACCTATCATGCATGATCTTGTAGAAACGATAGAACGCTTACCTCAATCGATCCGGGGCCTGTATCAATTGATATGTTCGTCCGATCACTGTAGGCAGGAAGAATACCTTGCCCTCTACACGTATCCACACCTCGGGATGGATTCCAACATTTGGAACTTGTCTGCTAGGACTCGAATCTTCTATTCGATTTGAGAAAACGAGATTTTGATCACTTCTTCAACCCTCTAGACTCTCCAAAAAGGTCTAAAGAAGTTCTCTTTTTCGGCTCCTTAGTGTTAGGGTTATTAATCTCCTCTTATTCAAGTGATTAACCCTAGATCCGGAGTTTTAAAATTAAATCCGAAACCCAGACCGAACGGATAAGCAGTCCGTTCGGTCTGGACACTTGGTCCGTTCGAACCAGTCTCATAACTTGGTCCGTTCGGACTGATGGGTCAGTCCGTTCGGTCCAACACTTGGTCCGTTCGGACTGGACTCTCTAGTCCGATCGGTCCAACAATTTGGTCCGTTCGGACTAGATGCTCCGGTCCGTTCGGTCCACTCCTAGACCGAACGATCCGGACCTTTTGTCCAGACTTCTCGACGTTTTCTCGTGCATTTGTCCTTCCCTGCGTGTGTGACCCTGTAGACTCATTCGATATAGCAGTATAACCCGAAATCTCTATTCCGGATATACAAGTTATAGGCGGTCTCTAGCAAGACACTATGACTACCTATCTCGAATAGAGTTTGTTCGTGATCTTACGAACGCCAGTGATGATTCCGGTTGATGATCCTTTTGTATCACGATATCATATGTCGAATATAAGGCATGGACAAGCCACCTTATCTGATTCGACTGCTTTCTCGTTCACTGAGTTCGACTGTCTGAAATAGACGACGTTCGTCTATAGTGCGGCCACACATTTCTACAGTCTCGCTCACACGAGGGGCCCAGCGATATCTCTCTCTTTTACGAGAGGTACAAATCCCGTCTTGATTATCTACAATCCAGCACATGATTCGTTTCGTACCTGATACACGCCTTTATAGTCCTCCTGTTACGCAGGCAAAGCACGTAACTCCTCATGTTGGATTCCGTAGATATCTCAGGTCTTAGGATCAAATCATGGAACCGCCATATGAGATTCCAGTCATGACGCTAGTCCATGTGACAATCTCATGCGGGTCAATCCAGTATTCCGTTCTCCAACGAATACCTATGATTGTGATCGTATCCAATACCTATGATCATCTATATGATCATCAATCACATATCATACTAGTCTTATTATGTCATCATTCCCATAATGACATAAGACTAGGGAGTTTAGTATTGTTCATAACAATACATGGATTTCATAACACATCTAGTATACAAGAACATGTAATGAATCAAATACTCTCATAAAACTGTAGACAGTATCAATACATCAAATGTATCTGAATAAAGCTCATAAATAGTACATCATAGAGCACTAAACCAACAATCTCCCACCGTGCAAATGTGCACGTCTCCTCTGTCTATGATTCCCTGATAAGGTGAAACCGTCTGAGTATGTGTTTGGATCGTTGATGGGATCTGGGTTCTTTCGCTTGTGAGATCGCTCCATTGTTGTCACAATACAGAGCAATGGGCTATCAGCACTAGGAATGACACCCAAGTTACCAACAAACTTCTTGATCCAAACAGCTTCCTTTGCCGCGTCCGACGCTGCAATATACTCAGCTTCTGTAGTAGAATCTACAACAGTCGCCTACTTGGAACTCTTCCAGCTAACAGCGCCTCCGTTCAAGCAGAAAACATAGTCAGACTGCGATCTGTAGTCATCCAGGTCTGACTGGAAACTAGCATCGGTGTAACCTCTTACAGCGAGCTCGTCTTCCGACCCACCGTATACCAAGAACACATCCTTAGTCCTTCTCAAGTACTTCAGGATGTTCTTGACGGCGATCCAGTGTGACTCACCTGGATCTGACTGATATCTACTCGTAATGCTCAACGCGTAGGATACATCCGGTCGAGTACAAAGCATGGCATACATGATGGATCCAATTGCCGAAGCATATGGAATACGATCCATGCGTTCTCGCTCATCAGGTGTCGCAGGACACTGACTCTTGCAGAGAACTCTGCCACTGCTCATCGGTAAGGTTCCTTTCCTGGAATCTTGCATCTTGAA